CGAGCAGATCGTAAACGACGGCGACGATCGCGGGGAATACGAGGGCACGGGCACGATTAAGCAAATGGTTCTTTAACGACGACAGCTCGGCTGCTGGAAGAGCTGTGTATCAAACGAAAAATCGGATTTGCTGCCGGGTAATCGCGCCTCGATGGCCCGCATCAATCCGTATTTACACGTTCCGTTTCATCTGCCGCAATTTTCCAACTGACAGACGGTAATGGGATTTAGATGGGAGGACCGTTTACATTCTTTGTTCCGTGCCACGGCCACGATTCTATTTTCATAAACGCAGCCGGGTTCGAACGGGGCTACCATTTCCTCGGTACCGGGGTATCCATCAATGCCTTCACACCTTGATATTAGCTCCGACGCGTTGTGTACATCGTTAAAGGTCCCTCCCCGACGCGCTCGGCCGACGTAGAAGGCCGTGCACGTCCTCCGAACCGACAGTTCTTACTGTTAGCCGCGGCGTAAAAGTCAACGGCTATCGGGTAACTCCGACCATAAATGCTCGATCAGAAAAGACACGACGACGATCTAATCGTTTCGCAGCCTGCTGTTAGTCCACTAATTAGCGATCGGTAGCTTGTAATCGGCCGGCCAGTGTCCGGCGGTCGAAGAACGCGCCTCTTCTCTCGTTTACGTAATGAGAAAACGTATCGCCGTTTTTCTTTCCCCGTGATCGACATACAGTAATGTCTCCCTAACCATGGGAAGAGGATTATTCGAGCCTCGCGATTTGTTTTTGTAGTTGCCGATTGTCAACAATTATAGAAACGAGCCGCAAGGCTCGAACAATCGTATCTCCCCTTCCCAAATTCTCCATTTTTGTGGACGATCCGAGCGTCAATTAGAGAGACATTACTGTAAAATGTTTTATCAATGTTTTTACTCGATGCAGGAATACAAGCGGAGAAAATTCTGTCTGGAAATAATATTTAATGTTCGAGATATTTTACCAGTTTAACAGTCATGTTAATTACAAAACTGAATAATAAAATTTATGTTAAGCGTTCAAAATTTGCTCCCTCTGCTTCGATGCACTTTCGAAGCCTTTTCCGAATATTATTCACGATTTTCGCACACTCGATTATTGTAATTACGTTGCACTTATTTTGAGAAGCTAGTTCTAACACGTTCGTCGACTTTAACGATCATTCACGTGCGTCGAGAATATCGGCAAATCTATGAAAACTTAGGGAAAGAAAATACAGTAATGTATCCCTAACTGATGCTAAGATTGTCCACAAAAATGGACAATTTGGGAAGAGGAGGTACGATAATTTGAGCCCTGCAGCTCGTTCTTTATAGTTGTTGACAATTCGAAATTATAACAACGAATCGCAAGGCTCGAATAATCGCATCACCTTTTTCCAAATTGTCAATTTTTCATGGACAATCTGAGCGTCAATTAGAGAGACATTACTGTACTTTAAACAGAACCGACATCCTTTGAAACAATATCATCGTCTCTTCGTAACTGTTCGATCTGGATCTTCGATGAAAGCTTAGAAAGTGTATTTTTAACTTTTCAACTTTTCATCTACAACTTCAACATCTTAATTATTCGCAGCAACGTTACCCAATTTCGGTAACATTTTCAGCGTGTGCGCAGCTAACGTGATTCTATGAAATGTCGTCTTTCGATATTCTTCAAGTCGAAATAGCACTTCAAAATCGATCCGAACGTCCTCGACCGTTTCTCAATCTATTTTGGAAAAATTAGAAAGAAAGACAAAAACTTTCTTATCTGAGTCTATAACGATTAGACTGCGGATCCTTGTGCGAAATAAAAATTGTCCAAGACGATTGTAAGAACCAGATATTAAATAAAAATAAACTGTTTCATTGAATTATTTCGATAAGTTGCGAATAGTGTAACAGCGTTATAAAATTCCTCTTGTATCCTCACGATTTTATACTTCAGCTTCTCAATTTTGCCATAAATGCATAAAAGTCTAATAATGATATATTCGTTATACAGAGCGTCCCAAAATTATGGTATTTCCGGAAAATGAGAGGTTCCTGAGGTCATTTGAAGTAACTTTTTCCTTAGCGAAAATGCAATCCGCCGCGTCGTTTACGAGTTATTAACGAAAGACGGGGACCAATGATAGGAGAGATCAGCTAACACGAGGCTGCCGAGCCAATGAACGGAATTGAGCTTCGTTCATTCGTTGGCTCCGCCTTGCGCCAGCCGAGCTCGCCCCTCATTGGTCACTATTTTTTGTTAATACAGTAATTTCTCCCTCATTCGCGCTGAGATTGCGCACAAAAATGGATAATTTCGGTAGAGGAGATACGATTATTCGAGCCTTGCGGCTCGTTTTTATAGTTACCGATTGTCAACAACTATAAAAACGAGACGCAATGCTCCCAAATTGTCCATTTTTGTGCGCAATCTGAGCGCGAATTAGGGAGAAATTACTGTAACTCGTAAACGAAGCCGCGAATAGCACTTTCGCTAAGGAAAAAGTTACTCCAGCTGATGATAAAAAGTTACTACCATAATTTTGGGACGCCCTGTAGTCTCGAATAAGAAAGTTGTGCAATTTTTTCTTTCCATCTTCTTCGAAAGACACTGCGAAACAACGGTCGAAGACGTTCGGATCGATTTTGGAAGAAGTTATTCCGTCTTAAAGACTATACCATCGATCGGATATGTCACTGTACTCGCACGAACTATCACCGAGCGCCTCTAAAAAGATCCCGTAGAGGTGTTCGACCACGGGCCGTCACGTTTACACACTTCCAGATCGTGTTCCATCGGTGGCGGACACCTCGGGAGCTCGCAACAAATTCCAAGGCACGATTCAGCGAGAAAAATCAACAGTAACCAGGTAATTTGAGGAATTACGGGCGAGGGTCATCATCGTGGAGAGGCAGTATTCGATCTAGGCGTGATCCAGGGGATAATAGCGATCGAACGCTCGGGAGGAGTGGACGAAGACGACGCGACGCGGCGTCGAAGGTGTACTCTCGATGTCAGGAGTGCCGTACGACTCTCCAACACCGTTTTAATTGCGTCCACTCTAACGGTAGCTCCTACCCGCCATCGCGATCTGGATCCCGGAGTGTCGGGACGCCGAACGACCAGCGACGCTCGAATCGATTCCCCTGGATCGAACGATCAGCCTCGATCGTTTCCTGGCCATGGGCCAGCCCTACCTTCGATCTCTCGGACACGGAAACAGTAATAATCATCGGTATGCCTTGTAACGGTCCGCGAAGGTGAAAGCAAATGCTTCGGATTTGCGGCAACGTCGCCTTGGCGGCTTTGCTAGCCCTCGAAGGGATTAACACGGCTTCGGAAGAGCGTGGGCGATGCGGTATGGGAAATTGAACATTTCAGAGAGGAGTTGATAATATTAGGTTGGGTGTACAGTAATGTCTCTCTGATTGACGCTCAGATTGTCCACAAAAATAGAGCCTTGTGGCTCGTTTTTTTATGATTATCGATTGCCAACAACTATACAAACGAGCTGCAAGGCTTGAATAATCGTATCTGCTCTTCCCAAATTGTCCATTTTTGTGCACAATCTGAGCGTCAATTAGAGAGACATTATTATAGTTATATTCGTTTTGACATTAAAATGGGGGCTGATTAAAAATAAGTAGATAACCTTTTCTAGTTTCACTAATCATAGTTGAATTAAAACTTGGAAGTTTGAGTATTTGAAAATTTGAATGTCGAAAGATTGGAGTACTTAAAAATTTCAATATTTGAAAGTTTGAAAATTTGTATAGAGGGTGAGCCGCAAATTGGTCTCCACGTTTTTGCAACCCCTTTCGATGGACTGACAAGAAAATGTTTTCTGTCCAAGTTAATTAGTATTTAACCGACAAGAAATTGCAATTGTGTAAATTTAAAAACAAATTGATTTTCGATAAACAAACAAGGTCGCTGTTGTATTTTTAATTGAAACCGGGTAATTTTAACTTCATAGTATCGTAGGCGACGTCGAGACGAATTCAACGACACGATGACCTTCGGATGACATCAAGGATAAATTATTATGATTCGATTGCCACAATATTTGCAATAATTCGGTGATACATAATATCAAGGCCTCTCGCATATAAACATAAATAAGTAGATCGTAGATATTAAAAATGCTTATTTATTCAATTTCAGATCTTAACGCATAAAACAAAAGAAAAATTTATATATGTTAGAAATGTGGATATAATTAGTAATTAGATTGAATGTTCGAACTGAATTCCACCTTCTGCAACGCAAAGTTCTGCTCTCTATAATAAGGGAGGATTGGTGATGTTTACGTTCATTTGTGTGTTTACGTTTACATGCGAGGCCTTGGTGTTACGTATCGCCGAATTATTTCAAATATTGTGGCAATCGATAAATGGCAATTTTTCCTTCGATCTCATCTGGATGTCATTATGTAGCAGATCGTTTCGACATTATCTACGATATTATGGAGCTAAAATTATCTAGTTAAATTTAAAAAAAAATAACAACCTTATTTTTGTATCGAAAATCAATTTATTGTTGAATTTAAACAATTGCAATTTCTTGTCTGTTAAATACTAATTAATTTTGATACAAAACATTTTTTTTGTCAGATCATTGGAAGAGACTAAAAAATGGTGGGGACTAATTTGGGACTCACCCTTTATAGGAGTTTGAAAACTTGACAATTTGAATCTCTGAAAGTATGAAAATTTAAGTATCTGAAAATTTGTGAATATTCAAAAGTTGCAGTACATACAAATTTTAATATTTGAAAGTTTGCGTATTTGAAAATTTGAATATACGAGAGTCTGAAAATTTGAAAATTTGGATGCTTGAAAGTTCAAGTATTTGAAAATTTGAATGCTCGAACGTTCGAGCACTTAAGGATTTGAAAATTTACAAATTTGAAAACGCGAAGCTCGGGAAATACGTGAACGTGGGATCTTAGAACTGAAGAAATCTCGGGTCACGGATCGCTCGAGAGTTCCGCGATGCGAAATTAATGAAAAAACAATTGACTTACGTTGCACACGTGTCGTGTTAGGTCTGTACCGCCTATGCTCGCGGTCCCAGGTCTCGGGATGCCTTTTCCACTCCTCGTCGCCGACCACGCCTGTTCCACCGCCTCCGGCGAGACCTTGGAGACCCTGAAGTGTCTGAAGCGCTTGAAGGTTCGGGCTAAGAGGTCGTCCTTTCAACGAGGGAACCGGTACGTACGCCGCGCCCTCGCCAACGTAAACCACCTACACGCAAATTACACCTCAGGTTAACAATAACATCTCCAGTGTACATTAATTTAACTACGTCCCCACTGCTGCAATATTTCTATTCGTCCGTGCTCCCCAATTAACCGTCATTATCCCAAACCCGGCATCGCTGACCATTAACGCGTTTACTACCAATACGATCATCACTTTCTCATGCTGCGCACGAAGAAAATCAAATTAATCCGTACGCATCGCTATTTGATTATTCATTAAGACAACTTGCGACGCACCTTTAACGACTTTCCTTCGGTAATAATAGTCCGACATTTCTATTTAAACGAAGCGCTTAAATTAATGTCGAATTCGGATAATTATCTTTCGTCGATCGTATTCGTCCTGAAGATACTCGTCAGTTAATTATAACCACTCGGTGTGAATTTGTTTGGCGAACGAAAAGGTGCAACAATGTCTACGAACAAAATACATGTTCACGACATTTTGCATTTGTATAAATATGACTAGACTGAGGATTTTATGCATTTGTGGCAAAAATGGATAGGCGCAGCGTAAAATAGTGAAAAGATTAACCCTTAGCGCTCCGCGCGTTTCTCGAGTACAGTAACGTCTCTCTAATCGACGCCCAGATTGACCACAAAAATGGACTATTTGTGAACAGGAGATACGATTATTCGAGCCTTGCGGTTTATTTTTATAGTTATAAATTGCCCACAATTATAAAAACGAGCCGCAAGGCTCGAATAATCGTATCTCCTCTAAATTATCCAATTTAGTGGCCGTAGGTCGACCGTAGACTCGGAGAATTTTCTCGGATCGTCAGCCAGCATCTGTAGCGTATTTATTTATTCGACGTTCTAGCGGTGACCGAACTTTGTACAGCTTGTCTTGCAGTGACGTCAAATTGACGTCACTGGTTGAAGGTAAATAGTAAACAAAAACATTTAACCCTTAGCGCTCCACGCGTTTCTCGAGTACTACCTGCCAGCAACTCTGACACATTTTTGGAGCAAAGCGCCTGAGATAAAGGAAGTCTTATTTTCAGCGGAAAAGATTACACGTCCTTGCGAATGCATTTGATTTTATTTATTTTATAAATATACATTTTCCTATTGTAAATAAAAGATAAATTTTTAATTTTGTAATTCACCATAGTGCGATATCTTTGGTAACAATCTCCCATGCGCACTCTGGGTTTACTTGGACAAGTGTCACAGTATTCACTTTGCCAAATAGAGTTACCAGATATTTCTTTCAAGTTTAGAACATTTTCCGCGTAATCGTTGCTTTCCTTTATAATTTCATTTACCAATTCGTCCGTGAAAAAATAATTTAAAATATTGTATCGGCTGTTCGATGTTTGTAGGAACTTGTGGTCCAATGACCTGTGGCAATACACTAAAAGGTATTCCATCTGGAATATGTAATTCTTCCGTAACATCACGCCATTCGTCTAAGTCTTGTAACGAATCTTCGCTTTCGCTTTCAATAATTCTCATTCTTCGTCTCTTTGGTAGTATAATTTCGCTACTACTACTCGAAGTGTCGGAATCATAACCAACATTGTCTTCCAGAATGTCTTTTAACTCTTCAAAATCAAATACGTCTTCGGTATCACTCGGATCTAAATTCTCATCGTAATATTTATTTTTCTCCATGTTGCTAACCATAGAAAAGGTCAAAAAATGCTTTAATCGTAATGGTACAGACTTGGTACGTTTTAACTACAGATAACAATTGCTAACGCCGACGATAACGTATGCTAAAAACATTTGGCTCCGCAGCGGAGCCTTCGGATTTACGGAACAAATGACCAATGTCTCCGTAGCCGAGCCTTCGGAGCGCTAAGGGTTAAAAGCAACTAAAACTGTTGATCCGTTGAGTGCAACTCGTCAAAATTATTTTATGAAAGGAAAAACGTTGCACTTGGCTCCTGCAATTGTCTTTTGCACAAAGATCCGCAGTGCAATAATAAGTATTCCCCGAAGTCCGCGATAAGTAAATGCGGTCAGCCACGTGCAAGGAAGCCATTGCATCGAACAACGTTTGCACCGTCGACCTAAGCTTCGAAGAAACAAGTCGTACGAACAATTTCGACTCTGAAAAGTCTTGAGCAACAGTCTGCAGATAATGTGTCAATTAAGAAAAACCCCGATAGGGCATCGTCTTCGATCGTTAGATCTTCATCCAGCGCGAACAGGAAGCGCAACAGACGGCGCGAACGATTACGACTCGGCTCCGAGAAGCTGAAGAACGATCAGACAAACGGAAGTATACGGAATGAGCCCGGTGCATTCGAGTGCATGGATCCGAGTGCATTCGCGCCGGGACCATTGCTGATCCGAATGGCCCCTAAAAGCCGATACAGGCCCGCGAAAACGGCGCGGTTTCCTCGAAGCCGATGATCGGTCGAGCCGAATCCTCTTCCTCGACCGGCAGCGCATTCTTGTCTCTGGAAACAATGCCTCTAAAGAGGCAGTCCGTCAGCTGGCCGCACATAAAGCGGAGAGACAGCGCGGATACGGCGAGAGAATGATCCTCTAACTACTCCAGTGGCCCATAAACGGCCGGTGCTGGCGCGCTCGAGTTCCACAAATTCCTGAAAGGTGGAATCCGTGAAAAGCTATAATTCCAGAGCGAATAGAAAGCCGAGCGGTACGTGACAGCGGGGACCGAGCGAACGACGGCAAGAACACGCTGATGAGGCCAACTGGAATACCATGGTGGAAGGGATCGAGGAGGATCCGATGGGGCTGACAAGAAACGGGCGAATATGAGCGTGTAACTACGCGATTGTCTCGGCGAGCACACGAGGAGGACTTTTTCGTCCTTGAAGCTGTTTTGCCGCCCGCAGACCAGGCGAAATAATGTCAGATCGGAAGATGATCGCGAACTCTGTGGGACAGGACTGAAAAATTGTTCGATGGTATCCGCATGCTTCGAGCTACGGTAATGTCTCCCTTACTGACGCTCAGATTGTACACAAAATTGGACAATTTGGGAAGAGGAGACACGATTATTCGAGCCTTGCAGCTAGTTTTTATAGTTGTTGACAATTCGAAACTATAAAAATGAACTGCAAGGATGGAATAATCGTATCTTCTCTTTCTAAATTATCCATTTTTGTGGACAATCTAAGCGTCAATTAGAGAGACATTACTGTACATGGAGGTTCACGTGTGCTGTAAGTAGGTGCGAGACGCGTAATACAATTTCTGACAACTGGAAAGAGGACAGGAAGAGACGAAAATGGTGGATTGTTGCGAAAGTTGACTTTTATTGTCGATTGGACAAATTATACCATTTTCTCAACTCTTAGTTTACTCTTAGTTTTATTTAGACAGCTTTTAGTTAATTTGGAAGAAGACAAGAAGAAACGAAAATGCTTGATTGCTGCAAAAGTTGACTTTTATTGTCAATTGAAAATACCATGCAATTTTCTGAACTCCTACTCCGAAGTGTTATTTAGACAGTCTTTAATTAATTTGAAAAAAGACAACAGGAAATGGTGCACAAAAATAATTTATAATGTAGTAGAGGACTTATTTTAAAAGCTAAGAAGTTAATTCGAATTGTTATGTAAACAGTCTGATTTGAAAGAAGACAATACAAAATCGAACAACGACAATTTCGAATACGGAGGACTTGCTTCAAAAGTTAAAAATGTCTCCGTTGAGGAATCCGCATGTTGGAAAAGGTAATACAATTTTAACCAATGTCAATTTGAATTGTCACGTAAACCGTGTTCAAATAATTTGAAAACTGACGATACGAAACGGTACGTCGATAGCACGACAATTTCTTAAAGCGGAATATTTTCAGCATACCTTCGAAATGAAGGAGAATAACAGATCGGAGAATGCGCTGGACGCAGGTACTCATTATGGTACCGCGGCCCGTCACGTTCCGCGTGACTTCAATCGACGAAACTTCGCCTGCAACGCTTGTCGTCGTCGTCGTCGTCGTCTGAAACCGCCACGCGTCACTTTAAACGGGAACCGACGTCCGTTCCTTCTTCGGACGATCATTCTCTCGTTCCGTAGAGCCCGTTGCCTTTGGTCTCCCGAGTTCTCGACATGACACGCGCGCTCATGCGATGATTAACGGTCGCGCGGTTAGGGTGTCGAAAGTCATTAGTACGGCTACGATCGGTCGGACAAGCCGGGTGAATGTACCTATCGTGTCTCCGAGTTGGTCTGTCGGACTTGTCCCTGACCTACACCTGCTCGCCGACTGGAACTGGTTTGATTCGATCCAATTTGCCAGCCGCTTATGTCACTTCGAGGAATGCCGTTGAATAACTCTTTTGAAATTCAAATTCGATAGATACCTTGGAAATTCAATGTTCGACGGTGCCGTCGCGGTGGCAGTGACTGTCAACTCTATTCCAGCGATCTGTAATTGTTTGCGTCCTATAGAGATTGTCTAACTTGTTCGACGCTTTATGGGAATTGCGAGTACAGTAATGTCTCCCTAACTGACGCTCAGATTGTGCATAAAAATGGACAATTTGGAAAGAGATTTATTTGCGTACGAAGTTAAATATAATAATATATATTTATATAAATATATAATATAATTATATGTGATATATATATATATATATATATATATATTTATATTATTTATACATAATATATATATTATTATTCTAGCATCGCCGTATTATATCTGATTTTATATAAATCAGATATATTAGACTTATTATATCAGACGTATTATATCTGATTTATATAAAATCAGATATAATTAAATACAGATATAATTTTCTAGGTGATGCTAGAAAAATAATTCTAGTAAATATAGTTGAATACAGTAAAGTCTCCCTAATTGACGCTCAGATTGTGCATAAAAATGGATAATTTGGGAAAAGGAGATACGATTATTCGAGCCTTGCAGCTTTGTTTTTATAGTTACGAATTGTCAACAATCATAAAAACGAGCCGCAAGGCTTGAACAATCGTATCTCCCCTTCCCAAATTCTCTATTTTTGTGGACAATCCGAGCGTCAATTAAAGAGACATTACTGTAAATTGTTTCATCAATGTTTTTACTTGATGCAGGAATACCAGCGGAGAAAATTCTGTCTGGAAATAATATTTAATGTTCGAGATATTTTACCAGTTTAACAATCATGTTAATTACAAAATCGAATAATAAAATTTATGTTAAGCGCTCTAAATTTGCTCCCTCTGCTTCGATGCACTTTCGAAGCCTTTTCCGAAAATTATTCACGATTGTCGCACACTCGATTATTGTAATTTTGTTGCACTTATTTTGAAAAGCTGGTTCTAACTCGTTCGTCGATTTTAACGATTCATAGAAAATCTTCTACCTTCGACGATAATAATAATTTTAATTATTTCCTCTCTTTCTCTCTTGTACAATTCAATAATTGTAACCCGCTCATCGTTTCACTTTTAAGCTGAAAAAAGGTAGAAACGTACATGAACAGTACCAATAGATGTAAAAAATAAACACAAAGAATACGAATACCGAATAATCGCCGAAGCAAGAAGCATTTTTCGCAAAGGGACAGAATTTTCTTCGCGCCCTGTAATTTACAATTGGAAATTAATTGCTTCGCAGCGAACGGTTCAAGGCCCCCTTGTCTACATCGGTGCATAGACAGCGATTAATGTCTTGTCATTTCGGATGGCTCGGTTTCGCGATCGTTAATAATAATTATCAGTAATGTCCGGCTAATCGTCCGATAATTAAGCATCGCCGACCGATCGGACGTGCCGCAAACGGCCGATCAATTCCTCCCCGGGATCTCGCATTTTTCCCCATCAGACGAGCATAATCGATGACGCGTCGGTTACGCGAAACAGCCGCAGGAAATCGTTATTTTTATCCACGGCGAGATCTTTCAACTCTATCGAAGGAGGCCTGACAGCGGTGTTCTAACAATAGGTGTAACATGAGTAACGGGTCGTTCATAGGAGTTTGATTGCTTATAGGTGTTGCAGCAACGATTCCCCGTTGCGAGGATGATCGTACATACCGCATCGTGATCGCTGGCCTCGTGCGTTAACGCCTCTCTGGTCTCGTTGTGCAGCGAGTCATCCTCTTCGGGCCCGGATCCGCTTCCGGCCCAATAGTCCTCCGTCGTTTCGTCCAGAACAGAGTCGTCGGCGTTCCCGTCGCCATCCGCGTTCTCGTGATTCGTCGCCTTAACATATATCCCTCGGTTAGGATCATTTCCGTTGCTCTAGCACTATCGTATTCGAAAACCGACGTTTTCCCGGTCGGAAAATTTCACCAGGCATTTTGAGCGTTGCTTGAGAAACATACTAATTCCACGTGAAATCTCGCGAAATCGTATGAAAAATGTTAGAAGTAAGGAATTAACTCTCTATGGGCCAAATTTTTTTCTTAGAAATAAAAAGATTTATGCAATGGAAAAGCAACAATTATAAACCTATATATGCAGATTATATAAACCTATATAACCGAGAGCTATTATGTACGTTTTTTTTACATAGTAAACACCGAGAGAAGCACAAATAATGTTAATCTCATAAGATGGTTCTGTTGGTTTCTATCCGCAGACAACTTGCAAGGCATTTAACTTTGATATTTCAGGTTGATGGTGCTGCTAACCGTCATTAATATTGTTATTTATTAGACATTTAGACATTGGAGACATTATATAATTAAGGCGTTTACTTCATCTTGTGAAAAAGCGAAAATTACTTGGTAAAATCGTCGATATATTAACATGTGACCTGAAAGTTACACGGGCCCATAGGAGGTTAAAGCGTGAACTTTAAACCTTTTATCGACAAGATAGAGAATTGTAAACCGACATCTATGCAGGATGTCCCAAAAATGTCTCGCAATACGGAAATGGCAGGTCCCTCGGATCATTTGAAGCAACTTTTTCCTTTATAAACATTTTCTTCGAGGAACCGTTAACGAGTTATTAACGAAAAACAGTGACCAATAAGAATCAAGTACGGCTCAGTCGCCTCGCGTCAGCTGAGCTGGGATTCAACCGCTCGACCGCTGGCGCTGTTAGCTCGGTCAGCTCGGGCCAGCTGAGCTCGTCTCACATTGGTCACTGTTTTTCGTTAATAACTCGTTAACGGTGCCTCGGAGAAAATTTTTGTAAAGGAAAAAGTTGCTTCAAATGACCCGAGGAACCCGCCACTTTCGGATTGCGAGACATTTTTGGGACACCCTGTATATGTACCGGCAAAATATTGGAGCCGCGTCGATTTCTGTATTCGCTGACACGCGACGCGCTTGCTCCGTATTAAATAAACGACGCGCGCAATAACCATAATGCGGCGAGTAATTAAAAGCCGAACAAGAAATAATACGTGAGATCTGTCCACGCGAGACAATGTACGAACAGCGTGGCGTGACACGACGTTCCTAACGGATTTGAAACAATAGAAATAAGCAGGCTCACGAACGCCAGACTCTTCTTCGAATGTCACGAGATCTCACGTGACGCGGGCATTAGTATGTTTCTACCTTTATTAGCGTCCTGTCTTGTACAATGTTTGTTGCATTCAATACGGTGCCATGTTCTTGCCCGTTTACCGTACTCGTTCGCACCGGCGAACGACTCTTGCGCGAATAAATAAATGAATAATGTACCTGAGATTGCAGCGAGGCAACGGCCATCAGCCACACGATCGCGTATCTGTAACAAAAACGATACGTAACTTCATCAATCTCCGGAAAAGTATCGCCGACAAGAAGCGGCCGCTCTTAAACACCTATTTATATTCTTCAGCGAGGCCATAAACGAAATCATTTTACAGCACGCCGGACTTTGAGCGAAACAAAGCAGCAAAAGTCCGGCCGTCAAAGACGGCCGACGATTAAACACGCGGTGTCAGAGGATCGAGCGTTCGAGCAATCGTTCGCCGGCCAGTTATTCAAAACGATTACGCGGCATGAATAAATGCAACAGCTTTCAACTGTCAACAGTGTAGACACTGCACGAGGATCTCACTTTATCTTGATCGCGCGATAACGACAATTCACCGCAGCGATCACGCGAAATGATACACAATTCGCATGCAGAATCCGTAACGAAAATGATCCTCTCGTAGAATACCCGGAGAATAATGGATCGTGCCGGGAACCAAGGCTGAGACCTTCGAGCGATCCTTCGATGCTGCGGCGCGAGGATTCGATACGGATCCGCAGGATCCGCGATGTCTCGGGACAGAGAGCGAACGGTCCGCGAAAGCGGTCGGTGCTCGCGTCGGTCGTTTGCACGTCCGTTTGCGCGGCACCACGTGAATCCGCGATAATAGCGAAGGACAACGACCGATAGAATCGCGGGGAACCATAATCGGATCATTGCCACGCGTGACTCGGTCTATCTTGGGCCAGGATCGAGGGAATCCTCGTCGATGCGTCAGCGAGCGAGCGCGGCTCGCATGCGAAACCGCTTTCTGGAAGCCTGGCATGAAAAAGGGCCCGAGATCCTCGGGCCCCGGCCACCTTGGACTCATGGGAACCGCTGGGAACGAGAAAGCAGCGCAGCGATCGAGACGCTAGATAACAGCTTTCTTCGAGGAAACTGCGGACTTTGGTTGAAGATAAGCTGATGGGTCGGTTCAGAAGTTCGCGCGGTTTTAATTTCGATTTAACCAGTTAGCTGTGTTTGATATACTCGTCATATATATACTCATACGTATACTCGTCGTGCGTAAAAATTAGTGACCATTGACTATTTAAATTTTATTTTTAGTGAAAACAAGAACATATTCTCAAATTTCAAGATGTTTAGAATATTCTGAGACCAGGCCAGAATAAAACGAACAAATAAAAAATATGAGTAAATATATGAATAATTCACGATATTGGTATTCGATGTGCCAAGTGCCATTATGCATCGTTCTTTCCTTTGCTGACTTTGCAACAGCAATTTGAATTGGTAACTTTTATAAATATGTGATTTTTCCCCTGCGTTTTTCGTTTATTATGTGTATGGTATATGTTAATGTTAAGTGAACGAGTAAATGTTAGCAATAAAATTGTTAATTTCACAAAATAAAACTGTCTTTTTGATCCAATATTTTAACAGCGACACTTACTCGGTGTTCGACGAGTATACTCGTCTTTGCTTGATTCTCGTGACACATTTAGGTGCGCGCTCTAAAAAGGAGGCGTCACAGGTTGAATAAATAATAATCGCATAATAATTGCCTAACAGTTACGTCTGCGCGTAATTCGATAGCTTTGGTTTCCTCCTGTTTTGCGATTGTTTACTTATTCGTTCGGCGTCGGCGATAAGGTGATTAATTCTTGGAAAAGTACGGTGCGTCGTGTTGACAAGTGCGAACATCCCCGACACGTTTTGCTCTAAGATTAAATTCGTAGTAAAGTGATTAATGTTTGGAGAACTATGAAATGTCAAGTTAACAAGCATGAACGTATCCGACGTGTTCTGCTGTACGATTAAATTCGCGATAAAGTGATTAATAGGCTGCGTGTATTTATATACGCAAGATAAAAGTGATCTAAGTTAGTTGCGAGAAATGCTAGTCGGATAAGAATGTCTTTCCTCTTTTAACGATTTTATTAAGTTTTATATAATATAAAAAGATTCTTCAATTCTTCCGATGTCTTTGCAGTTTTATTTTTGATCTAATCGTTATTGTCAAAAATGGATAAAATTCGCAGTACAGTAATGTCTCTCTAATTGACGCTCGGATTGTCCACAAAAATGGACAATTTGGGACGAGGAGACACGATTATTCGAGCCTCGCGGCTCGGTTTGACAGTTGTTGTCAATTCGTAATTATAAAAATGAATCGCGAGGATCGAATAATAGTATATTTTCTTCCTAAATTGTCCATTTTTGTAGACAATTTGAGCGTCATTTAGAAAGACATTACTGTATAGCGATTAATGGTTTGCAAACTATGGAGTGTCAAGTAAACCAGAATGAACATTTACGATTGAACCGCAATGTCGAAGACGTTCATTCTTGTCAACTTGACAGACCATACTTTTCAAACAATTAATCATTATTTATTCCTCGCGCATAGAATGTGCTTTCATCCTCGGAAGAATAAATAAACAATCGAAAAGCAGGAGAAAACCGAAGCTATCGAATGACATATAAGACTTTCTGTTTAACACGTTCCGTGCCGAGCTTTTTTTACTCGAATCTTCACACTTTGATATTTTACTAAAACTTGATGTATTACGTGCAATTATTAATTCTCGTACACATAACAACGTAACAAAAACTTATCAACGCCCATTCTTGCGGTGGAAATTGATTCTTCGGTTCTAAATTTCTTGTAAACAATTTGTTCAGTTCACTAAGTAAACATGCAAGCGTGTACCATCGATGGTACACGTGGCACGGAACGTGTTAATTGACATCGAAATAATAACCGCACGAACTCGGGGACCGATGTTTCTTCCCTCCGCCTATTTTCGACGATCAAGAATTCAGGATAACATTCACATCCATCGATCGATGTTCGTATATTTTTATGCGTCTACATGCAAGATAGACCTCCCAGTCGAACTCTGATCCGATGCTCCGTGCAATTAGACAAAAGGAGGAACAGGATGATAGATCTCGTTGGAACGGAGATCTAATGCGTTGCGATCCGTGTCGTGATCGTTCTTCCCCTTTCACGGTCGCTTCCTCCCCCACCGTCGACAAGCCTCTCTCTTCCCCCACTGCCTCCTCCCTCGCGCTACAGCCCCCCACCACTCCCGCCTTCTTACTCGTGTTCCGTCTGTTGCACTTCATCGACTTCCTTTCTACGCTGTAACGGGTTTCCTTCTTTGACATCGATCTCGCCGGTTTTAACCCCTTGCGGTCGGACCGTCCCGCGCAACCGACCGCCGCACACGCCTGATCCAAGGGTTTAGTGACACTGTCGGCGACAACTGCGTAAAATCAACTTTTTCGACACAATGTCTCCCTTGTTGACGCTCAGATTGTCCACAAAAATGGACAATTTGGAGAGGAGATACGATTATCCGAGCCTTGCGGCACGCTTTTATAATTGTTGACAATTTATAACTATAAAAACGAGCCAAAAGGCTCAAATAATTGAGCCGTGTATTTTGAAAGTGGCATAAATCACTTTGTTTTTAAGTCGGTATATTTAAGGGTTTGCGTTTTAACACGTTTAAAAATATGTATGCCAACTTTCGAGAAGATTTACTTGTATTTGTTATCTCAGGATACTGATATTTTTCTCAGTATAAATAATTTCGTACAAACATTAAAAAATCACCACGTTTCATTACGGCAAAGTGACTTATGCCACTTTCAAAATAAACGGCTCAATTGTGTCTCCTCTTCCCAAATCGTCCAGTTTTAGAGTCCGGTAAGAATCAACTTTGGTTCTCCACTTTCTTTCTCAATCAATCAAATTATTTCTGAAGAAGTCGGTCCAAGAAGCGAAGCTTTAAAGTAACGAAATCGTTTTGAAATAAGTATAAACAAATAAATGGTATTAGATTCGGAGCTCTACGAAGTACATAGAATATTATAGTTTTGTTTACAAGGTAAAAGGCGAGTGATGTTCCAAATATTTAAGAATATCCTGGAAGGTGGCGAATTAGTAGGTAGGACGTTTTAAGTATAAACAAATAAATGGCATTAGATTCGGAGCTCTACAAAGTAGATAGGATATTATAGCTTTGTATAAAAGGTAAAAGACGAGTGATGTTCCAAATATTTAAAAATACCCTGGAAGGTGGCGAATTGGTAGATAGGACGTTTTTTAATTAAGTACGGCAGTATTTTCGAGCATAATTAACTTTATATTTATCTCGAATAAGACATATTAAATTTTGTTATTCTTTTATTTTGTTTACTACATTTAAAGTCTTATTCGATAAATGTAAAGTTAACTATGCTCGAAAATACTGCCGTCCTTAATTAAAACGTGCTATCTACTAATTTGCCACTTTTCAGGATATTATAAAATTAATTACGCCCGGAAACGAAGCAAACGCACAGCAATTAGTCACCCCGCAGTAACCGGCTCCGCTAGTGACCGGCTCCCTAGCATGCGGACCTCCGATACGCACAAAAATCATGCGTCAGGCTCTTACGAAAATAAGTCGCGCAAGGAGTGGGGGACTCCCGTGCATGCGTCGCCTGCCCCCACTCCTCGCGCAGCTTACAATAATGTCTCCCTAATTGACGCTCAGAGTGCGCACAAAAATGGCCAATTTGGGAAAAGCAGATACGATGATTCGAGCCTTGCGGCTCGTTTTTAACGATTGTTGACAATCGGTAACTGTAAAAACGAGCTGCAAGGCTCGAATAATGGTATCTCCTCTTCGCAAATTGTCCATTTTTCTGCGCAATCTGAGCGTCAATCAGGGAGACGTTACTGTATTTTCCTAAGAACACCGGTCATGCCGTCGTCCCAACGCAGCAAACCGGAAGCAAGAATCTTCGTAACGATCCATCGAACCGCGAACGATATCCTAGATCGAATCTCTGAACAGAACGGTGACCACTTCGCTAAATCCTCGAACCCCCGGCGCAGCGGCAGGAATCTCGCGCCTCGTAAATCCTGACACCGTATAAATCACGAGCTCCGCGAATCGCGTCCGCGAGCGACTCGCCGCTGGTTCTCGGGTCATCGCTGAAAATCACCCGTCCACTCTTCATCTCTGGCTCGATCCCGCTTCTGGCTT